TGTCAGGAAATTCTAAATTATAGTTCCCACAACAGCAATAATTCAGCCAAATTGCACATATGTATTAAGGCATTAAAGTTAACACTCTGTGCAATCATGTAATAAACTGCATATGCATAAGAAAGCAAGTTATGGCAGCTTTGGGAGCCGTCATTTTGCATTTCCTGACTTATACATTCAAAATCTCAATTTAAATGTGTACGAATGTAATTGTGTTGAATTTCCACATACAAATACAACTTCATAAATTGCTAACAGTTTGAAAGAAAATATGGAATTGTATATGAAACATATATTTTAACTGTTATTGCTATGATGAATAATGTTTTATAGAAATATAAAGCAAACTTTCAGGTCAGGTCACAAAGCAGTTGTTATTTTTAAATTAACGTATCCTGATTTTAGAGGAAAATAAATGAAAAAAATCTAAGGATGAGTATTTTTTACTTTATTATTTTTTAATCACATATTATAGAAAAAAGTAAAAACAATATCTAAAATATATAAAAAGAAAAATAATAATCTCCCTCTCTCCCTTTTTTTTCTTTCTACTTCCTGAGGTAACCAGTGTTAGCTGCATAGTATATAACCTTCCACAGTTTAAATGTTCTTCCATGTTCGTATAATCTTAAAACACCTATAGAGGAATTTAGGGGACTGTTCTTACAAAAACAGGATCATGCTACGTATATTACTGTGTACCTTAATTTGGACACCTCTCCAGGTGACTAGTTAAACCTAATCCATTCTCTTTATCAGCTGTCTGTTATTTCACAGTATGAATATACTGTAGGTTATTTGATTTTTTTCCCTTTTTGATAATTAGCAGGTAGTATCCAGTTTTTTGCCACTTCAACAATACTACAGTAAACATTCTTGAAATACATGCCTGTGTATCAGTGCTTTTAGTCATATGTAATAGTTCCTCATTGCTAGTGCAACAGCGAGGTATAATTTTAATTTTCAAATAAAGCCAAAATTTTTCACAAAAGTATAGAAATTTACATAGCCATCCCAAAAGTATGAGAGTGCTATTTTTGCTAATTTATTTAGTTTACCAATATTAATTCATTAAGTCCTAATTATAATTCTGTGAGGTATGTT